GAAATAACAACTCGTGTATCTTTCCTTAAAAGATGCAATGACTATGTGGTTGCCGTATTGATACAAAATATTCAGATGTTAATGATATTTCTCCTTGAAGGAGATATTTGTCACAAAGTTAGTGGTAGAAATATTAAAATTCTTAATTTTCGTCATTTATAAATTTAGAATTAGCTTTATATTGTTCATTTGATTATGATTTTCTCTTATGACACCAAAAGTGTCTGAGCAATATTTGGTAGTACAACAAAAGCTTATGAAGAGCTAACTGTTTGTCTAGAAGACACATGACACAAGTAGTGTCTGAATAATATTTGATTGTGGACAATAAATGGAAGGCTCCCGAAAAGATTATTTGTCATTATTGTGGTCAAAACATATGTTATGATAAATCGAAGTTTACTAATACACATGACTATCATACTGAGACTACAAATGATTGAAAGATTGAAAATCTTCATGTTTCCACAATCATATGGGGTCAATATGTATGTGAGAAGATACATGCCTTATTCTTCAAATTTGTACTACATCATGTATCACAATATACCAGAAGTTTACTAATGCAAAAGCAGTCACAGTAAATCAACAATTTACTGATACAAAAGTAGCCACAGTAAATCAAAAGTTTACTGATGCAAAATTTTATGCCATAGTAAACCAGAAGTTTACTTAGAGATAGCACATGCCATGATAAACTTGAAGTTTTCATTTGCCATTTTTAAATGAGCTATTTGAGAATTCAGATAAGCATATACTGAAGAACTAGAAGATTCTTCAAGAATTCTCTTGTGTTGCTTGTTCTCATAATAACTTGATTATACCAGCCAAAGTTGGGACTAAAATTCCCGAATTCTGGAATATATAAAAGGTAAATATGGGCCCATTCACCTATCATGTGAACCACTTATAGATGCATATATAAGATGGTTACATGTATGTTTATTGTCAACCTGTAGTTTGGCATTTGAAATTGTCTTTCTCAATTAAGAACATAATTTTCAGATTATGAAATCAAGATAGTTCATCTTGATGATGTTGGTTTATAGCCAAGCTAGTTTAGCATTGAATACCTTCTATTAATGGCTAAACTATTGCTTATGAGAACAAAGCCTCATGTGTTGGTCTAAGATTTTCTAAATTGCATATAACAGCACTTGTATGCATCAGACCAACAAAATATGATAAGTCCTCTCCTCACAATTGGTTTAGGATAAAAAATCAAATATTTTTACTATCTAATAATTTTTGATGTGTGATATATGATTAATTTCTCCACCACAATGCACAAAGATATGTTTCCCAAAGAAGATTGGGGATATGAGTTAGTTTTTCTAACATTTGAAGGATGGAATAAAACGGCTGGAAAATAAGCTATATGAATCGAATTATCATTAATATGATCCTCGCTTAGAAGATAATTCAAGTCAAATTCCAGAAGCATTTGCTGATCCAAAATTAAATATCATATTTCAGCTGCAAATGCTCCTATTAAAATTAAAGTCCCTGAAGGATAGAGTTTACTGTACGCATGAAGCGTGGTAGACCAATCGGTTCCAAAGGTAACAATCCTTGAAAAGAATAGGAGCAAATGATCAGAATGATCATAATAAAGAGGAAATAAGCTCTGGAAGAGCCCACGACATAACATTTCATGAAACTTCAGAAGAAGTTCAGGTACCTGAAAATAAAGAAAGTAATGAGATCTCAACAAGTTATGTCGCTTGCGAACTGATACGAAATGATCGTCGACGATATATTTGATACAATATAGTGCACAATATTGCAAAAGATTGTGAGGATCGGACCTGTAGTCCAGACACCTGAAGATGTCATGCCATTTAAATGTAAGTCATAACCTATATGACTTATTTGATTAATTCTATATGAAGATCCCTGAAGGATTTAAAATGCCCGAAGCAAATTCAAAATCTCGAGAAATGTATTCAATCAGATTACAAAGATCTTTGTACGGTTTAAAGCAATCTGGGCGCATGTGGTATAACCACCTTAGTGAATATTTGTTGAAAGAAGGTTACATAAATGATGTTATTTGTACATGTATTTTTATAAAGAAAATGACATCAGAATTTGTTATACTTGCTGTTTATGTTGATGACATAAATCTTGTTGGAACTCCAGAAGAGCTCCAAAAGGCAATTGAATATCTTAAGAAAGAATTTGAGATAAAAGATTTTGGAAAGACAAAACTTTGTTTTGGTCTGCAAATTCAACATTTAGCAGACGGGATCTTTATCCATTAATCTGCCTATACATAAAGGGTCTTAAAATGCTTTTATATGGAAAAAGCGCACCTATTGAGTACACCAATGATTGTTCGATCACTTGAAGTGAATAAGGACCCGTTCCGACCTCCAGAAGAGGATGAGGAACTACTTGGTCCTGAAACACCCTATCTCAGTACAATTGGTGCACTTATGTATCTTGCTAATGCTACAAGGCCTGACATAGCATTTTCTGTTAATTTACTAGTAAGATATAGCTCTTCTCCTACACGGAGACATTGGGATGAGATTAAGCATATACTGCGATATTTAAAAGGAACTCTTGATATGAGTTTGTTTTATGCTAACAAAGGTAGTGCAGATCTTGTTGGTTATGCAGATGCAGGTTATTTATCTGATCTCCATAAAGCTCGATCTCAAACCGGGTATGTGTTTACATGTGGAGGTACTATCATATCATGGCGCTCCACAAAGCAATCTATTATTGCTACTTCTTCAAATCATGCTGAGATAATAGCTATTCATGAAGCAAGTAGGGAATGCGTATGGTTGAGATCAGTGATTCATTTCATTTGAGAAAAATGTGATTTGGAATGTGATAAAAGATCCACAATTTTGTACGAAGACAATGCTTCATGCATAGCCCAATGAAAGGGAGGATTTATAAAAAGAGATAGAACAAAGCACATTTCACCAAAATTATTCTACACATATGATCTTCAAAAAAATGGTGACATTGATGTGCAACAAATCCGTTCAAGTGACAATCCGGCAGATTTGTTCACTAAGTCTTTGCCAACTTCAACTTTTGAGAAGATGGTATACAAGATTGGAATGCGAAAACTCAAATATTTGAAATAAGGTTTTCATTAGGGGGAGTGAAATACGCATTGTACTATTTTTTTCTTACTAAGATTTTTTCCCATGGGGTTTTTCTTGTAAGGTTTTTAATGAGGCAGCTAGAAATGCGTATTACTAAATATGTGTACTCTTTTTCCTTCACTAGGTTTTTTCCCACTGGGTTTTTCCTAGTAAGATTTTAACGAGGCACATTATCTTTTAATGAACATCCAAGGGATATTATATTGTGGATGTCCATTCATTACTCCGCTATAGATAATCTTCCTGAAGAAAATTATCCATTTAGTACTTTGTTGAAGTTTATCTACAAGCAGCTGATACAGGCAGGTTGTAAGCAACTCAATGAAATGATTTGCAGCAGCTTCTTATTAAACAAACAGGTTGCAAGCAGCTCATGCAGACAGCTTACAAGCAGCTAAAGAAAAGCTGTGCAGCTGCTGCCTGAAAAGCCTCGCAGCTGCTTCCTTTCTTCTATAAATAGAGGAGTTTTCAGTTCATTATGAACATAACTTTGAAAGTTGAATAAAATATCAATCTCCCTCTTTACTTGTCTTCAGTTTATTTCTTTTATAGTCTTTATTTTGTAACACAAACAACGATTTCTCCACACAATCATCTTTACCAGTTTCCCTGGTCTCATTTTACTTCTACTAGAAGAAACTGGCCCTCAATCAATATAACCCTACCTTGACTGTAATAACACTACTCAAAATAATTTAGTAGTTAAATTTTTTATTTTTGGGCTTCTTTTAACATTACGAGGTCAACGTGGAGATCATTATTAGTGATCTTATAAGAATTGGTGAAGGAGTTATGTCGATAAAGTTCGGCAGAAATGAGAATTCGACATGATTGTGTAACTAATTATTGTTTGAGTTTCATCAGGCTGATTTGAGGCTTAGGAGTTGTTAATTTGAGTTTGAAGGATAAAAATCAGGTTATAAGTATTAAAGAAGACGTGTGTTGCCTCCGAAAGATAGACATGTTATTCAAAGTCCCAGGGGCTGTTAGAATCCAAGGATTCGAAGCTAACAACGAGATCGACAGAGAAAGATAACTATCGCACACAAAGAGAGAGAGAGAATGCACTTTGGTAAAATGACCCGGTAAGGATCTCTGGAATCTTCTATTACATATATACTTGATCCGACCTTATTCCTATTATAAATAATAAAGAATCAGCCCCAATCTGCCCAATACAGATAATTTAGCCCAACTACAACATAAGCCCAAAATACATGAAAGTGAAACCCAAATATGCTAACACCCCCCTCAAGTTGGAGGGTGGTTTGCCATACCCATCTTGCTCAAAATGGAGCGATGATGTACACCAGAGAGAGGCTTGATGAGCATGTCTGCAAACTGCAAGCTGCTGGGGACAAAGGATAAGGATATAAGGCCTTCATGGAGTTTCTCATGGACCAAGTGACAGTCGAGCTCGATGTGCTTGGTGCGCTCATGAAAAACAGGATTCCGAGCTATATAGATTGCAGATTGACTATCACAATTGAGGGGAACTAGAATAATGAAAGTCACAAATAACTCACTGAGCATCTTGGTTAGCCAAGCCAATTCGGCAACAACCCGACGCATTGACCGGTATTCTGCTTCAGCAGAAGAAAGAGATACAGTATGATGTTTTTTCGACTTCCAAGTGAGAAGGGAACCTCCAAGCAAAACCAAATAACCACTAACAGATCTCCGAGAGGTGGAACAAGTGGCCCAATCGGAAGCATAGTATGCTTCAAGAGAAAAATTAGAGGCATTGGACATAAGCAGCCCCTGACCGAAAGTACCCTTGACATACCTCAAAACATGATAAGCAGCAGTAAGATGAACAGAGGAAGGAGCATGCATGAATTGACTAAGAAATTGAACAGCGAAGGCAAGATCGGGTCTAGTATTATTAGTGAGGGAATTTAATTTGCCAACTAATTATCTGTAGAGTGTCGGATCATACAAGGGCTCCCCAGAAATATTTTTGAACTTCACAGCAACATCCAAGGGACTAGCTACAGGAGTGCAATCCAAGCAGTTAAACTCAGAGAGAAGATCCAAAGAAAATTTTCTTTGACACACAATTGCTCCTTCAGGCTCAGACAATATTTCCAAGCCAAGAAAATAATGGAGGTGCCCCAAATCCTTAATTTTAAACTGGCTATCCAGAAATTGTTTGAGGGAAGACATCTCCTTGTCATCATTGCCACTTAGCAAAATGTCATCAACATAAACAGCGGCAACAGTAATTCAACCATCAATAGACTTTATGAAAAGAGAATAATCATTTTTAGAGACTGAATAACCCAAGGAAATGAGAGATTCACTCAACTTGGAATACCATTGTCTAGAGGCTTGCTTTAAACCGTACAAAGATTTCTTCAATTTGCATATCATATTAGTCCCAGAAACTACCATCCATTGAGGAATCCTCATGTACACTTCTTCATCTAAGTTCCTATGCAAAAATGCATTATTTACATCTAGTTGGAACATATTCCAACCCTTCTTATCAGCAACATCTATGATGGACCTAATGTTAGTCATTTTAACAACATGGGAAAAAGTTTCGGTATAGTCAACCCATTCTTGTTGAGTATCCCCTCTCACAACTAACATTGCCTTAAACCTTTCTATGCTTACATCTGCCTTATGTTTAATTTTATACACCCATTTATTTTCAATAGGTTTCTTACCGGGAAGGGGTACAATAACCCAAGTGGCATTTGCCTCAAGAGTCTCAAACTCTTTTAACATTGCTTCTTGCCAAGCAGGATGTTGTCCTGCTTGTTGATAAGTTGTAGGTTCATGAACATTATCTAAAGCCTTAAGTAAATCTTGATTAGTGAAACTTAAACTACTGAAGCAAACTAACTTGGGAAAACAAGCAATAGAAGTCAAAGTGAAAGGTGAAGAAGAGGAAACAAAACCACACACATAATCACTTAGATAAGAAGAAAGGTGATGAGGTCGGGAAGGATATCTAGGAGCATTTTTAGGTGTATGGACTGGAGAAACAGAAGGGGAAGGAGGTGCAAAAGAGGACTGCACAAAGGAAGGAGTAGAAACAACCTGCAGAGGAGAATAAACAGAGGAAGAAGAAGTGTTGTGGTGAGGAAAAGCAGCTGGAATATTCTGTTGAGGGGAAGGAATAGGATGATGAGATGAAGGAGTGTGATAGGGAGGGTAAGTAGTAGGGTAATCAAAATATGAAGAATTAGAAAGACCCAGAAACAATGTTTTAGGTGAAGTAGATTCTGAGTAAGGAAATATGTTTTCATGAAAAACAACATCCCTAGAAATAAGAATTTTCTTGTTTGAAAGTTGCAGCAACTTGTATGCTTTCTTTCCAGGAGGATAGCCAAGAAAGATACAAGGTGTAGATCTGGGAGAAAACTTGTCTCTAAGAGGTTTAGAGACCACAACATAACATAGCAACCAAAACTTCTCAAATGATTGTAGGAAGGTTGAGTGCCATATAGGATTTCATATGGAGTTTTGCGAGATAACAAGGTACTTAGGAATCTGCTTATTAAATAAGTAGCTGTAAGTATGCAATCACCCCAAAATAAAGTGAAAGCTTGGAATGGTATAGAAGGGCCCAGGTTGTTTCTAATAAATATTTTTGCTTTCTTTCAACTATACCATTTTGTTGGGGTGTATATGGGCAAGATATCTGATGTAAAACTCCTTTGGACTGGAAAAATTAGGTAGCTTCAAGACTGGCACCAAATTCAAGAGCATTATCTGTCCGAATGGTTTTAATATTTACGTTGAATTGGGTTTCAACCATTGAGAAGAATGATTTTAGAACAGAAAAAGCATTGCCCTTGCTACTTAAAAGGTGAGGGTAAGTACCTCTACTACAATCATCAACCAAAGTTAAAAAATATATGCAATTTTTGTACGTTGCGGTGTTATATGGTCCCCACACATAGACATAAATAAGATCAAAAATATGTAAAGCACGAGACTGACTATGAGGAAAAGGATTTCTTTGTTGTCTTGCAAGTGGACATACATCACAAATGAAAGGTTGTCTATCACAAGATGGAACATTGATACAAGTGATTTTGTGTAGTTTGGAAAATGGCAGATGCCCTAGTCTATTATGCCACAAAATATGAGACTTATTCACGGTGACAGTATTTACATGAACAGAAAATGGAATAGGAACAGCAGAAGAAGCAGCATATGGTTTTGTGGAGGTAGAGTTGAGTAGATAGAGCCTTTCAGCCATCTTACCAAGTCCCAATGGCTTCTTCAGAGAAGGGCCATGTAGTAAACATGCAGTAGAGGAGAAAGTTAATAGCAAAGATGTGTCAAGAATGAGTTTGTATACAGAAATAAGATTGTACTTAAATGTAGGCAGATAAAGGACCTTAGAAAGAGTGATAATCGAATTAATATGTACCGTACCAATAAAAGTTACTTTCACTTTGTAACCATTAGGTAGTGTGACAAGAATAGGAATTGGTAGATCAGTTATATTGGTAAGTAAATTTTTATTGGAGGTCATATGGTCAGTTGCTCCAGAGTCTATAATCCAAGAGTCAATATTTAAATGAGTCTTTAGACATGAACAAGAACCACAACTTTTATGACAAAAATATGCAAGTATACCTGCAAAATTTACAGAGGCAGTAGAGAACTGATTCTGACCCTCATCGGTAACCTGGACATGTAGGAGAATGCTCATGAGTTGTTTGTACTGGTCTGTAGTTATGGTGGAAGAAGTGGGATTCTTAGTAGGATTATTAGCTTTGACCTCAGAGTTTGAGTACACATTGGCAGCAACTGACATTTTTATTGCCAAATTTGAAGTTATGTGGATAACCATGAAGTTTATAGCACGTTTCTATTACATGCCCACTCTTTTTGCAATACCGGCAGAAAGGTTTCCTAGGGTCTGGAGCTTTCTTTGCATCAGATTCCTCTTTGATACTAATTCAGAGTAGTGAAGTTGTATTTCTGATTCTGAGTATTGAGAGTGGTTTTTGGATTATGGAATGAAGGACCAAGGAGATTAGATCCAATAGAGAAGGATGCTGAATCAGATTGAAACATAGGGAGATTCTGAATACCCCTCTGTTTCTCATCCTGTATAACCAAAGAGTAGGCTTTGCTCACATCAGGAAGGGGTTCCATCATTAGGATGTTCCCCCTAGCATTGTTGAAGATTTCATTTAAGCCAATTAAGAACTACATTAACTTCAAATTTTGGTCATTCTTTATCATCTTATGTTTACCCCCACAATTGCATTCACAGACACTATAGGATTCTGTATCCAATGACTCCATTTCATCCCAAAGTCTTTTAACCTTGTTGAAGTATCCACTTACATTACAAGAACCTTGAGAAACTGAGCTCAGATCCTTCTGAACCTCATACATTCGAGCACCATTGGACTGTCCATAACGTTGATTCAATTCATCCCAGAGTCCTTTGGCAGTTTTTGAGTATATGACACTTTGAGAAATGTCTGGGTCGAGAGAGTTGAGAATCCAGCTAATGACCATATTATTACACTGTTCCCATTGATCGAAGAGTGGTGAATCAACATCAGGACGAGTATAACTACCATTGATAAACCCTATTTTCTTCTTTGCAGAAAGTGCAATTATAATTCCCCTTCTCCAAGTACCAAAAGAACTACCATTGAATTGCTTAGCAACTAACATAATGCCGGGATTATCAGAATGATGCAAATAAAAAGGGTGAAAAGGAGGAAAAATCAGTTCATCATCAAAATGAAGATTGAGAGACGGATTCAGATTATTAGGATTTAGAGACGGATTTTGGTCAATTTGTTCATCACGATCGCTTTGATCACCCATCACGAATACGTAATAGAGAAGTTACCAGCTTGGAATCAAATTACCCACAGAGAAAGCAAAACTCCAACCACGATTAACCACAAAGCACCTTCGTTGAGCTACACAGTATCCAAAAAATCACTTATTGAACTGGAGATCACAACAATGAGATATTCGATCAATTTTTCGATTAGAACTAGAGGGAAAAAATCAAAAAATGATAGAGAACAAAAATTAGGGCAAATCACCGATGAAATTAGGGCAAATCGATCTCGAAACAGAGGAAATAAGAAGAAATCACCATGAAAATCAACCACATGAGGAGAGGTTATGTGATTTCTATGGATCTGATACCATGTTAGAATCCAAGGATTCGAAGCTAACAACGAGATCGAGAGAGAAAGATAATTGTCGCACACAAAGAGAGAGAGAATGTAGTTTGGTAAAATGACCCGGTAAGGATCTCTGGAATCTTCTATTACATATATACATGATCCGACCTTGTTCCTATTATAAAGAATTAAAGAATTGGCCAAATCAACCCAATACATATAATTAAGCCCAATTACAACATAAGCCCAAAATACAAAATAAATGAAAGTGAAACCCAAATATGCTAACAGGGGCAAATATGGATAATTCGCATAGTTCGAGTGCGTGACCTTTGTAAAAAAGTCGTGTGACATCAACGGTTGCTAAATAATGTCATTTTTGTAACGACAAGTATAGATTAAATTTCGTATACTTCAAGGTCAAATTTGACCCTTTCTAGTTCTAGAAAGAAAAAAAACACTATAATTCTCCAAATTTCTTAGCGCCAAAAACGACGTCTTTTTGAGATCCGCGCGATCACATCAGAAAAGGGTAAGAAAATGCTTTTGGCGGTGTTATTCGCCAACTTTGAAGGCAACATCCTCGTCGAATAGTAATCCACAGCTCGTCTCCATCTGTTTATCATAACCCCCTCCCCCAAAATATGATTCACTTTCCAGCGTAAGCGACTGAGGTGCTTAAATCGGGGTCTGAATTTGGTCTTTTGAGGAAAATGTTCTTATCTGGAAAATTCAATCTTTAGTCTTATACGCGGATGCAGCATACTAGCGCTCGTGTAGAAATTGCTTCGGACTTTGAACTATATATAAAATTTAATTTTCCTAAAATGTACCCACTATAACCCACAGCTCTTCGGAATTGTAATGTTGGTTGTTATATGAAATCTAACTATTAGCTACATTCTGCTGAATTTTACTGCTCCGTGTCATATAACCAAAAAAAATAAGGAACGAAATGAAAAGGAAAATGTATTTTATTTTCTTTAAATATATTCTATTTAAGGAATTATCACGCGTGACAAAGCGACATGTTAGGAAGGATCATCCAAATTACACTGTGCCGTAAGGAAAAGGCAAATTTTCATTTGTATATATATAAATTTTGTATCTTTCTTGAAATAGTAAAGGATTTATGGTGTAGTAGCAAAAGTGGTTCAAACATACTACATGTGGCATTTTCACATTTATTTAATCCCCTTATTAGAATTCCTGGCTATTATCACACCTTATATTCATGGTTTCACGTGCAACTTTAATGGAGTACCTGCAGAGGAGCGGCTGCATTGGCGATCTTTCTTAGTTAAGCTGGGTTCAGAGAATCTTAAAGGGTTCAAGAATGAAGAACTCCTTATATTCATGGTTTCACTGTATTGTTATCCATTGCTTTCATAGAAAAATATTGGCCTGTTGCGCAGCTCCACTAACTGGACAATGCATATTAACACGTCATTCTACATCAAACTCTCGTACTTAATTTTTTTCTATTCTTAACTGGATGGCTTGTATAGGATGCAACTTTTCTACAAGCAGTTGGAACCAAACAACCAAATGCTAAGAAGTGTTGACAGTTGAATATTGTAGAATGATTAAACTCAAATGCAGTGTATGTATCAATAGGTATCATACAGGTCATTATGATAAGCTGGAATCTGACATCTTAAGGAATTGCCAAAGAACTTAAATAAATAACAAAGCTTGTATAATGTCAGTAAGTTCTGTGCTATTCTTTTGTTCCCACTTACAAGGCAAACAAGGAAGTAAAGAAGGCAGAGATGGCCAATTGAATAAACACCCAAGTGAAATCTTCTTCATTATTCACTCCTGTCAATGCCAAAGCTGGTTCTGCAGCTACCAATATATGATGAATTATCGAAAACAAACCCTTATAAAGGGGCAAAATAAATGAACAAAACAAACAGTGAGTTAATGCCAATTAAAGGGTCTTACAATGGCTAAAAATGTTCCAACTTGAATAGCCAGTGAAGGTTTGAAGAAATCAAAGTTTCGATAGCCATCAAATGGTATGGAAATTACTTGTAAAAATGAACAAGCTGATAGATGGATAGTGAAATTGAGATTTTTTATGACTATAAATAACACTTAACTAGCTCCTTTATATAGAGTTGCTGAGTCGGTTAGAGTTCCTGTTCCAAATTGAATTCACCAAAGACTAGGTTTGCCGATTTTCTTAGAGCAACAAGGGTAACCAGAAATAGCGAGACAATAACAAGAATACGACACAATAGAGCAAAATCAGAAAGAGAATTCTAGAATGAGCGAGGAGACAACATAAATTTTACATAATAGAGAAAAATAAGAAGCATACAATGCAATAGCTAAAAAATACAGATAACATAGATTAGTAGAAATAGAAATCGAAAACTCAAGAGAGAAGAGAAGAAAGTACTCACAGAGATTAAACTTCAATAGCCCTAAATTATTTTTAGGGTTTCCAACAATTAGAAGCAGCAACCGATGGAAGTTCCCTATTTCCGTCTCTGAGATCCACTGTTAGGAAGAAGATTAATTTTGGGAAAGAATAAAGATAAATTTGGGGGGCGCGGGAGGAACGGGAAATCGCGAATCAAAATAGAACTTAAAATAGAACTTAGCCGGTACCTTTATTTGCCCTTTCAAAATGGGGGGAATTATTTCATTAATTAAGAGATTGGGGGAAATTTTTGGTGAAACTCTTTAGAGACACTTACAAAGTGTAGCTTTTAGGCTTAAGAAATAGCAACGGTTAAAAAGTGTTGTAATATAGGTGACTAAGTGTTGTCAAATATTTTGTGATTCGACAACACTGAAGGACCGTACTCTTTACTTTTTAAAAGCACTTTTTTGAAGCGTAGCCTATACATCGTAGCCAAAGACAAAGGCCACTCCATGAAAAACATCCCCTTAGATGCTTTTGGGAACACTTTTCAAGAGTCGCCTAAAGTTAGTGTTGCCGTAGACCAAATTTGTTGTTTTCATCCAGCTCGCATTTTTAAACATATAGCTGGAAACAACTGGGGTGGTGGAAGAGTATTTTGTTTGAGTTTATTTGAAGAATGTATTCTCTAGACTCAAATTAATGTTGTAAGCTAAGGCTGAGCCTTATTAAAAGTTTCTTTTGTCATAAGATACTTTGCTAATCATGATATACTTGTATTGTGTTTTAAATAACTTTCTATTTATTTCACATATTCTTTTCCGGAGGTCGGTTTACATTGTATATACAGTGCTTGGAGATGTAAGCATTTATGTTGTCGGGAAGGATGAATATGATGAACTTGCTTGTAAGTGATACCTCCTAGTTCAGTGTTCCAAGGCTTCAAAGAAACTTTTATGTAAAAATAAGCCGACAATTGTATTATCTCTGTTTCAGTGTGTATAACTGCTTCCCATTAGATGTTATTTGTGCCCCCTCCATGTAGTTCAGAGTGTGTTTGACTAAAATTTGGTGAATGTATTACCTTCTCCATTTCATGAATGAAAAAATCTACTTTATGAAGATATCTTTAGAGCGTCTATACCGTACCTGAGCTTTAAGCCTATGACTAGAGTAGCACATTAGGTTAGACAACAAATCAACCTCTAGTTTCCTCTTGGCTGACTAAATAAATCAAATGGTTAGTGTTGCGACCAAACACACTCACGCAAGTATACGCGGTCGTCGAGTAATAAAGTGACTAAAAGTCGGATGTCGAACCCACGAGGACTTATGATTAACTATTAACTAAATTAGACTATCCTAATTATCTAAACAAGAATTAAATCTAAAAATATTTTATTCCAACTAATTAAATAAGAAAAATATAAATAATAAACTTTGAACAGAGAAAGAGCAGATTTTAA